GAAGATTTTATTTATTCATTAACATAATCTACCTTAAAAGACAATCAACATTCAAACCAAGCTTTCCATTAGATATACAAAAAATGTACATACTCATGAACATGTTTGGTCTGAAAAATGATTTCTATTATAGATATGCCCGTCCTTTGTGTTGAGCAAGACTAAATTGAATGCACGTGATGCAAAGTGCAAACAATGGGGAACCAACTAGGGATACATGTTTGCATTTTAGTTCTACGATGATTAAACTTGGCAGAGAAAGATATCTAGACTTGTTGCAAAACGAGCAAACAACTTGATTCAGAGAGTAGCGACGTACCGATAACAATGTTATTCGGTTTTGTGCGTGGAAGCTCTCCATCCTAAACATGTGTGAATAATAATCATTTACCATTGATCAAAGACCTACTGGCTAATCTTGACAGAAGTGGGGGAACAATTACAATTTCTGAAATTCTATTTTTTAAAACTCAGAGAGGTGCACGTGGAAAAACATTTATATCACAGTTCAATAATATTAAAACAATTAATAAACATACATGTAGCACATTAGGCCTGTACATATAAAATATTGAATAATATAATAAAAGTTAAGTACAAGTCAATATATCAAAACTCAAATTCTAGTGATGATTTCGTAAAAAAAAACTCTTATCAACACATCACTTTAATTGAGTTTTTTTTTAAAAGCCGTGTAAGGTGGTTAAAAAAAAAGTGTGACAAATGGCGACTTTGTAAATAAATAATCCCTTATCAAAACATCATTTTAATAGAAAAAAACATTTTCTAAATTGTGTTAAGTGTGGTATGAAAAAAAAAGAGTGTGACAATATGTCTAAAGCTTGATTTATTTTTTCAAGCATCTAAAACATTAAGAAACTCAAGAACCGAATTAAGTCGATTAAAACTCTGTAAATTGATGCTGACATGAAAGGATTTGTGTGGGACGTCAAGGGTCGAAGGTATGTTGCGAAATGAGGGCATTTTGGGAGGTTTCCGAGTCTCTAATTTGTGCAATCAACTATAGCGGGCATCACACCACTATAGCAGGACATCTGTGCAGGAGCTATAGAGGTTGTACATGCACTATAGAGGGGGAAACTACTATGGCGATGCCGTTATAGCGGATCAGGCCACTAGTGTAACACATTGCAACTCTATTTTTAGAATTTGAATAATTTATTGTCAGTATATGTATTGAGAATATGGAAGAAAATGGATAATGAGCTGAGCTGTCCAAGTTGTTACAGTTTGTACAGGTGTTATAGAGTTAGTGGCTAGATACTAATTCTATTATTATTAGTTAGTTAAGCTTAAATCAGTTAATACTTGTATATATACAGATGTACTATGCATAGTTCAATACACGTTTTAAACAATAAACAAAAATTTTCAATTCTCTATGTTTTAGTAGATATTTTGATATGGTATTAGAGCTTTTCTGGTTGGATCTAGGAATTCTTCATATGCAATTATTGAAGGATTGAGAGATTCATCAAGTGGAAAACAGAAATCTGAAAATTAATTTCAATGGCGAGAAGGAATGGTCACAATTATCCTTTGTTCTTATCTTCTTTAGATGTTGCTGGATCGATGCAGATTGGGATTCAGTTAACAGACATGGAGAACTACACCTTATGGAGTCGTGCGATGCGATTCAACTTGATTACAAGAAACAATTTGGGATTTATCGATGGTACAATCACACGAGATGCTTTTACAGTTGATTCTGAGAAGCAGGATTGGGATCGATGTAACACAATGGTGATTTCATGGATCGTCAATAATGTCAGCAAGGAACTTGTAAGTGGAATCCTTTTATGCTCTAATGCTAGTGTGGTATGGAGAGACTTAAAGGAATGATTTGACAAAGTTAACATGTCTAGGATATATCATCTTCACAAAGCAATAACTACCTTAACTCAAGGTGTTTCTTCTGTTGCTGTGTATTTTTCAAAATTGAAAAACCTCTGGGATGAATTTGATTCAATTGTACCTCCTCCTTGTTGTGAGTGTCCAACATCGAAGGATTATGATGATGGTTTGATAAGACAACGACTTCTCCAATTTCTCATGGGATTGAATAATAACTACAGTCAAGCTTGTAGCCGAATTCTCATGATGATACATGTTCCTACTGTGAACCAATGTTATGCTATGATCATCCAGGATGAGAGTCAAAAGGTTTTATATAGGGAGCAATTTTGTAATAACAGTGCAATTGATCACACAACCTTACTATCCAACAAAATTGAAGGAACTGGTAAGCCTAGAGGAGGTGGTTATGCATGTAACACAAGAAGTAGTTCTGGAGGTGGTAATACAATATGATTTGGATATTATAGTGGATATTATGGAGGCAATGGTTCTGGATCTGGCGGTTTTGGTGGTTCCGGATCTGGTGGAGGAGCTGATAGCTCAGGAGCAAGTAGTTCTAGGTCTAGAAGGCCTTCTCCTTACTGCGAAATTTGTAATTTCAGAGGACATACTAAGGAAGCTTGTTTTAAGGCAATGCAATGCAATGCAACTATTGCAACATGAGGGGTCATACTAGGGACAACTGTTATAAACTCATAGGTTACCCTGCTGATTTCAAAGGAAAGAAGAAGATCTCTGCATCTAATGTCTAAAATCAACACACTGGAGACAATGGAATCACTCCACACCCACACCATGTCCAACAACCTCACTTCACAATGGATCAATACAATCAAATTCTGAGGTTGTTAAACAAACCTCAGTTGAATGAGACTTATGCAAATGCAAACATGACAGGTATACTTGCTATGTCTTTTAGTTTAATCCATACACATCCTACAGATTCACAATGGATAGTTGATAGTGGATCTACAAACCATATGGTGAATGACAATTCATTCTTTAATACTGGATTAACAGTTACTAGAATAGGGAAGATTCAAATACCCACAGGTGAGTCAGCCATGATAACTCACTCTGGGAAATGTTAGTTAGAAGGAGGTGATGTGATTACTGATGTATTACGTGTGCCTGAGTTCCAGTTCAATGTGTTATCTGTAGCTAGGTTGACAAAAGAGTTACAATGTTGTGTTTCATTTTTCTCTGATTTCTTCATTATTCAGGACCTCTTCAATGGGAAAGTGAAGGGGATTGGTGAGGAACGGGATGGTTTGTTCATATTGAACACCAAGATTAAGGAGGAATCTGAAAGAATAAAGTCTATGAATGTAGCAGAATGAAAGGAAACAACTGAGTTGTGGCACAAGAGGATGGGTCATGCACCCATGTCTGTGATTAGGAGATTAGACATAGTAAAGAATAAACAAGCATTTTCTTTCCAACACTGTGATATTTATCCAATGGCTAGACAAGTTAGACTTCCTTTTCCTAATAGTGACACTAGAGCTTCTCATTGTTTTATATTTGATCCATATAGATGTTTGGGGACCTTACAAAGTTGCTACTCATAATAATATGATATATTTTCTCACTTTAGTTGATGATCATTCTAGATGGACTTGGACATTCTTGATGCACCTTAAATCTGATGTTTGCACATTACTTAAAAGTTTTCTGACTTTGATAAAAACTCAATTTGGAAGGCAAGTTAAGGTACTTAGATCTGATAATGGGGGATAATTCTTTAATACTCAATGTAAGGAGTTATTTGATTATGATGGTATTGTCATCAAAGTTCCTGCCCACACATTCCACAACAAAATGGAGTGGTGGAAAGGAAGCATAGGCATATCCTTGAAACTGCCAAGGCTATTCGATTTCAAGGTCATTTGCCTTCTAGATTTTGGGGTGAATGCATCACAGCTGCTGTCTATATCATTAACAGAGTGCCATATACTGTTTTAAGGAATAAAACTCCTTTTTTCATGTTGTATCAAGTACAGGCCATCTTATCACACATGAGAGTCATTGGATGTTTGTGTTATGCAACAAACTTGGTTAAGGGAGACAAGTTAGGGCAAGAGCTATCAAATCTGTATTGATGGGATATGGAACTACTCAAAAAGGTTATAGGCTCTATGATCTACAAAATAAAGTCTTCTTTACAAGTAGAGATGTATGTTTCCATGAGCACGTATTTCCTTTTCATTCATGCACTATGGATGATCTAAATAAAATAGATGCAGATGATACTGTGTTAATGTCTATTTTTCATCCAACTAAAATTGCTGAAGAGTTTCCAGTTGCAAGGCTTGGAGGGTGTGATATTGCACTACTTATTGATTCAATTGGAACTGAGACAGTGGTTGAAGCTGCAAGATTTATAGATCCAGTTGGACAATTACCAGTAAGGAGAACATCAACAAGAGTTAGTAGACCACCTATCTGGCAAAAGATTTCATCACAAAACCATGTTCCAAGTCTGCAAACTCTTGTTTATAAACCATTGAAGATAATGTTACTTATGATAATCTAGCTTTCCCCTATCAGATTTTTATAGCTCAGAAGTTTCTAGAGACTAAGCCACAGTCTAATGCACAGGCTATTTTGGATAAAATATGGGTTGAAGCAATGAATTTTGAAATTGAAGCTCTACAGAGTAATGGGACTTGGAAGGTAGTTCCTTTGCCACCAGGTAAGAAGGCAATTGGTTGCAAATGGGTCTTCAAGATAAATTATAAGGCTAATGGTGCTATAGAAAGGTTTAAAGCCAAATTGGTAGAAAAAGGTTACAATCAAAAGGAGGGTCTTGACTATCAAGAAACGTTTTTTCCAGTTGTAAAAATGGTGACTGTGAGATCTGTAATTTCTTTTGCTGCAACAAATAGATGGAGAATTCAACAAATGGATGTAGATAATGCTTTTTGACATGGAGATCTACAGGAAAAGTATATATGCAATTACCACTAGGACTGAACAGTGATAACAGTAAGGGGTCACAAGTTTGTAGACTACTTAAATCACTTTATGGATTGAAACAAGCTTCTAGGCAATAAAATGTGAAACTCACAAATGCTTTGATTAAAGCAGGGTTTCATCAAAGTCATTTGGATTACTCATTGATGACAAAAAGGACAGTAGAAGGAATTGTGATAGTATTGATTTATGTAGATGATCTATTGATTACAGCAAGTAGCAAAAGGTTAATGGACAATGCCAAACAGGTTCTGAAGAGTAATTTCAAAATCAAAGACCTAGGAGATCTCAAATATTTCCTTGGTATAGAGTTTGCAAGAAATTCAGAAGGAAAACTTATGCATCAAAGGAAATATGCCATGGAACTGATATCAGACTCTGGAATGAGTGGATCAAAACCATGCGATACACCAGTCGAGGTCAACCAGAAACTGACAACCTCAGAGTTTGATGATCATTTCAAGCTTGATAATGGTAATGTTCTGTTGGATCCAGGTGAATATCAAAGACTTGTTGGAAGATTATTGTACCTTACAATTACCATGCCTTATATTGCCTTTGCTGTGCAAAGTCTTACTCAGTTTATGCATGCTCCTAAGTCATCACATATGGAGGCAGCTCTTCGAGTAGTAAGATATGTAAAACAAGCTCCTGGTTTTGGTATCTTGATGTTTGCTAAACCAACCAACACTCTTCAGGGATTTTGTGATGCTGATTGGGGGTCTTGTATTAATTCAAGAAGATTCATCACTGGGTACATGATTATGTTTGGTAATTAATTGATTTCTTGGAAGTCCAAGAAACAGCCTACTGTGTCTAGAAGCTCAACAGCGGCTGAGTACAGAAGCTTGGCATCTATAGTAGCTGAAGTTATTTGGTTGATTGGAATGTTAAGAGAATTAGGTATTGAAATGAAATTACCAGTGAAACTATACTGTGACAGTAAGGCTTCTTTACAAATAGCAGCAAACCCTGTGTTCCACGAGAGAACAAAGCATATTGACATAGATTGTCATTTTATTAGGGAGAAGATACAAAGTAGGCTTGTACATACTTTGACATTTGTCTTCTGTTGAACAAGCTGCAGACATACTTACCAAAGGCCTGAGAAAGTTGCAACATGATCATTTAGTATCCAAGTTAGGAATGAAGAACATCTTCATACCACCTAGCTTGAAAGGGGGTATTGAGCATATGGAAGAAAGTGGATGAAGAGCTGAAATTTCCAAGTAGTTACAGTTTGTACAAGTGTCATAGAGTTAGTGGCTAGATACTAATTCTGTTATTATTAGTTAGTTAAGCTTAAGTCAGTTATTAATTGTAGATATAAAGATATACTAGGCATAGTTCAATACACGTTTTAAACAATATACAAAAATTTTCAATTCTCTTTATTTTAGTAGATATTTTGATAATATGAACTTGAACCGGGTGAGTTTAATTTATCTATTTCTCAATATCTTTTAGGTAATAACAATTAGTTGTATAAAAATGAAAAGAAAAAAAGTAAGAATGATATAATGATAGGGACATCAAGACAAAATCAATGGGTAAAAGTGGCTATCCAACGCATCTCGAGACATATATACATACTAAGCCGACAAGATTGGAAACTTAAAATAAAAACAATCCAAAATAATATTTCCACAAAGCCTTTATACATCAAGTATTCGATCGGGACAAGGTCCCGTGTCGATACATTAATAGTTTGTGTGTGGATTTAATGAGAAAATCAAATATGTATGTTTGTGATCACGTGGACTTGTTTCATTATAATACCCTATAATTAAATAAGGGTATATATATCATTAGGTTAGGAAAAAGAGAATTAAATCAGATATTTTCTTAAAAGGAAAAAAAAGGATTAGGAAAAAATCCCTAGGCAACCACGCTGCAACTTTCAGCGTTAAAAAAAAAAGAGAGAAGAAAAACACAGCTGTTGTGTTTCCATTTCCATCGAAGGACCATGAAAGAGACTAAAGAATGAAAGGGCGAGGGAGAAGGAGAAAGAGACTTATTCTAAGGTTTCGCTTTCAGGTTCGAGGTAAATCCTTTTTATTTTTCTTCTCCTACAGCCTCTCCGAGATTATTAGTTAGGTATTTCATTGTAGGTGTTGAAATCTAAATACTAAAGGCTAATAGTTTGGCAACAAGGGTTGTACAAACAGATGAATCATATATATTTTATATCTATTTATGAGAATCAAGATACATGATTGATCAAAGGATTTCGGCATGAGAAAACCAATAGATTGAAGTATATTTTATACTACTAATGCCAAAATATGCTCCCAATAGCATTAGTTGGAAAATTCATTGTCATGCTGACCTTGAGTTGTTGTTAATTGTAGTAATATCTAAGAAAATTGTTTAAGTAACCACAAGATATGAATATTTAGAGCTTTTAACTTGTTGCTGCTAAAATTAAAGTTATATTCGTTACGGAATAAGATACTTTGACACATTGAGAATCAAACCTGAAACTTGAGGGTGGGGTATTTTAAATAGTTACAGAATTAGCTTAAACATAGAACCTAGCTAGAAATTTATATTAATATGATTATAGATTGACCAAAGAGATTCCTATTACTCGAATTGTGAACTTGGTATTTCAGCACCAGTACTGTGAGTAGTAAACTTACCAAAGTTGATGTTTAATAAATGTCATGATTTTGATATGGTTTATAAAGTAAATTTTTTACCGATTGTTTTGAACTTGCATGTGGGACAAGTCTATTACTGAATATCATACTGAAGATTATTTGAGATGATCTCATTCCTACAAGATATGATTACTGTTATTGAAAAGATTTTACACTTATTTGAGAAATAGTAGTTTGACTGCTGATTGTTAAACTTTGAAAGGATATGATATGGTAAGATTTAAATAATTTGTTCGATTTTGAAATGCTTCTACTGAATCAAAAGAACATAATTGGGAGGTACACCTTGTAATTACACACTAATTACTGATAAAGCCCTTTCTAGTGGAAAGGTAGAACTATTATACCGTTACCAATATCCCTCGAGTAGGGATGTAACGATATGAGTATTTAAGTCATTTATGAGGAATTCACTGTTATAGGTTGCTTCTTAAAGAAAAGCGACACTAATTGCATGATTCATCCTTGAAAACCTCCCAAGTATAAGGTTTGATATATAAATGTTTTCTAAGTTTACTATTAAGTATTTACATTGATTTTGCTTATATGAGGCACATGAGATGAATATTAATATGATTTCTGAAAAAGCATTACTACACCATTTGATTATCATACTAGCATGTTTTCTGACTTGTATCTCATTAAAATGGTTGTGGTTAAGTATTATTATTGATTGAGCAAACGTCTCACTCCTTGCTATATATTTATTTTTTTTACAGAGAATACAATTGACATTGGTAAGGTCTAGAGCTTTCGATTTGACAATTTCCGGTGAGCCCTTGTTCACGTGGATAACAATCTTATTAGTTGTTATAGACATTTGTTGGAATTCTTAGAGTCGCTCCATAGTCATTACTTTTATTACAAGTTATGAGTATTTTTTCGTATTGTAAACTGGTGTCTAGTATGAGACTTATGTTTTGGAATTGGAATTAGTATTTTTACTCTTCGAATAGTTTATTGATGAATAAGGTAGGAAAAAGATGATATTGGTTGGCTGCGTTATTGATTTCTGTTACAGGTAATTCCAAAAGAGGCCCAAAAATATATTTTCTATTTTAGATTTTTACCCTCTCTTAAATCACGATAAAATAGATTGTTATAGGATAAAAGGGAGTAATAATTAACTAAAACTATTAAATAATCATATCATGTCATTTCTCATTGCATACAACGTTTTTCAAGGTTTTAATTGACATATATTCTAATAAATAATTTATAAATCCTTTTGAGGGAAATAAAATCATCCACTAATTGGCTAAAAAATTACCAATTAACCCTTCATGTGAATGAAGTTTGATGATAAGGATAGAAGATTAGTGAATAATATAGTGTTATGATCGTGCTATGAGAGAAGTAGGGGCCTAGCCTCCTCCTTTCTTCTTCATTTAGTGATATCAGTTAATTTCTCATCATTATGTGTATTGCTATAATATATTAGTCATTCATTTTGTATTTTGCTAATTTATTTAACCGTTCATTGAATACTTATATTTTGAACTGAGTTTTTTCAAAAATGACATTTTTACCCATTAAGGTAAGGATAAAACCTGTGTATTAAGCTACTTTGTATTTTCTCAAGATATCAGTTGTGAATTACACTTGGTATCTTATTGTTGTGTTAACCACGTGAATATAATTTTAATTTTCATAAAACGATACTACAATATTAATTATTGATATTGCTTACAACACTTATAATATACAATTTATCTCTTTCTCAAATATTTTTTGGTACTACCTATTAATTGTATAAAAATGATTTTTTTTTTAAGATTGAAAAATCATCAATTCTTTTAGTTTTAGGTAGGATCTTTTAATCAGTTTAGGAAAAATATATACACATTTGTCATTTTATTCTAACATGTTAGACATAGAACATCCATATGATTATGAATTAGAATATAATAATTATGTTACCTTATAAGTTCTCAAAGATCTTATCCTAGTCAAAAATTTGAACTACCTTCCATAGCTTCTCAACAAGGAAATGAATTATAAATGGACAAAAAATAAATTAGTTTCATTTATTATTCATTTTTATTTATCAACATGTTGCAAAAACACACTATAAATAGTCTCTTGCACTTTATACAAAAGTATATCATTGAAATTAACTTTGAGAATAATTTTGATTAAGAATGGCCAAATTTTTTAACTTTGCTCTTTGTTTCCTTCTCATCATTTCCGGTTTGTCTTTTGTATTTTTTTTTTTGAGATTTTGCTTGTTCATTTTTATGAAATATATGCTATTTAAAGTTCTGAGGCATAAATTTTATATATTGATAATGTGAGGAATGTTTCATGATATATATGTATAATATCATTGGTTCTAATAGGTTGTTTCTTTGTTTTTCAAGTAATCATCTTTGAGTTTATATAGAGAGTTAAGTATCTTATGTTATAGGTCAACTTCACATGAATATATAAAAATTCTCTATGTTAATAGAAGGCACAATCAAACTTATGATGAAAATAAACAATTCAAGTCTTTTTTTATTACATGTGTGTAGTGAATATTGTTTTTCATGACTTTGATTGCAGTTGCATTGGATATTAGTCAAGTGAATGCACAACACAGATGTACGAAAATTCTGAATCCAAAAGGATGTGTTCTTTCTGATTGTAAAAAAGAATGCTTTCAAAAATACAATGGAAATGGTCTTTGCTCAAGTAGTGGTACTATTGGACAATATGTTTGTACTTGTGTTTACAATTGTAACCTTTATTAGTTAAATTCTCTAAATTAATTTTTATTTCAAAAATGATTTATAAGTAGTCTACTTGAAGGTTGTTCTTTATATAAGAGAATGAATTTTTAATTCTTTTCTAACATTTACTTTATTAAGTTTTAATTTAAAATTCTGATTATGAAACCTTATTATGTAACTGAACTGAATTCGTACTACGTAGACTCCATAAAGTAGCAAAACATATACTTTCCAAATAAAAAATCTCCATTTCAAAGGTAGATCTATTTATTCGAACTTAAGTAACTTCTGTTCAAATTATATAAGTGTTTTATGTCGATATGTTGTCTTATATATGAGGAATGTTAAAGAAAAATTATATGTTATATCAAACCAATTAACATGAAAAGTAATAAAATGTACATG